CGGCAGTGGAGCTGCAAGGCCGGCGCCGGCGGCCAGGACTGTTGGGGGCGGGGTGTGTGGCCTTATGACACACTTCCGGTGACGTCAGGGGGTGTGGCCTTATGACACACTTCCGGTGATGTCAGGGGGTGTGGCATATGCTAATGCGTTATGCTAATGAGTTCCCCTAGCTCTTTTTCTACGAAACTACCCCTGTGCAGAATTATTTAAAGTCACGATTATGCCCCAGTGGGTTTCCCTAGAAATCAAAACACTTCACTTCCCACCCCTCCCCAAAAGCCACAACAGCCAGAAATACAGGAGCAATTGCAGGCAATGCTCTCACCAAGAAAGACGATCTGTTTTGCACTGGAAGTGTGCAGCCTCAACCGCTTTCTTGCAAAAAGATCTCCCTGTTTCCCCACCCATGCAGTGCATTCTCATAAAGCAGACAGTATTTGCACCCATAAGTAGCTACGACTATAGTCTGCTCTTCCCAAAAACAGCAGGTGAACTGGTCAACCGGTGCCTGGACTGTACCACTTGAGACCGCAAACAGGTTGCTCACATCCATCTACATGCCGCTAGCTTTCTGTGGGACGGCAAAGGAGCATTCCACCTTGAAAGCCTGGGCCTGCAGCATGAAGCCGCACAACCCAGACAGAGGTAGACAATCTGAACTTCCACAGGCCAACACTGAGTCTTCACTAACAAGGAATCAGTACTTCCGATACCGACTGCCCCACCTAATCTACTCAAGGGGCTGCCGAGAGGCTAAAAGACCACTGCGGTAGCCTTATTTCATTTCCCAGTGAGGTTTATCAGTCACGTTCTCTGCTGTGATGGCTCAGAGCAACACGAAAAGCGCTACAGTCTGCGGCGAAAGGGCTGGATGCAAAAGAAAAGAGGATGGAGTTGAAACATCTGCGATGTAAAACTGCAAAGCGTTCCAAGTTCACAATGTCTATGAAACATTATTTCAGCTGAAGCGTAACCACCACCGGCACTGCAGCAACAGACGCACTAATCAGGGCTGTGTATACGCCGTGCGGCCCCCGAAGTGCAGAGCCGGCCTGTTTCCCCAGTCTGTTTCCAATTTTTTATAAATAACAATTTTGTCGCTCTTATGATTGCAAAAACATGCTTGCTGAAATCTGAGAAGCCAGATTCCCAGCAGCTGGCTGCAGAGCTTCAATCCAAAGCACCAAATTTCTCTTCCTTATGCCTACAAAAATGAGCCTGGAAGTGTAAAGGCGATGGCTGAACTCTCCGGGGATAGAGCATGGCTGGATTTTATTACTAGAGCTCTGCCTAGCACCTTACCCAGCCCTGAATGTAACCAGGCTTCAACAGCTAGATTTGAGACCAAGATTTTCAGGGTATCAGCTTTCAAGAGACAAAGCTCTCTTCATCAGATACAAGTCGTAATGGACATCTCTGTGCCATAATATCTCAGACAGACGGTGGAAGGGCTCTTGGGAAGAAGGAACTCACGATGCGAAGGTACAGTGTGCATAGTAATCAGCTTGATTACAGCAAAGAGGAAATGCCTGGGTGTAGAAAATTAGCATCTGTAGCAAGATAAGAATCCTATGTCCCTGTTCAGCCCTGGGACATTGTTCTAAGGTGTCAATGGACACGAATCTATATGCTCTACTGCAGACCGACACAGCTACCCTCTGAAACTTAAATAAATACTGTAAAATGCAGAAGGAGGCACAATTTCATTCAGCACGAAGAGAAAAATTATACATATTTGCTCATCCTGAATAATTTAAACAGGTCCCAGAACCAAAAATGTCCTTAGTTTAGAATTTGGATTCTTTGGGGCAATCATTGCTTTTAAACACAATGTACACAAAGCCCTTGGCTGTACCGAGCCCAAAAGTTTGTGCTACTCTGGAGTCCGCTCAAAAAACAATGCCAGACTCACCTTCCACACAGTGCTCCACCTCCTCCAGGTTGCGCAAAGTAATCCTCATGAGGCTGGAGTTTAGCATCAGCTCGTTCTTGTGGGCAGGCCACATGTGGTGCGGGGCGGGGTTGACAAAGAAAATCCGCGTGTCCCCCGTGGAGACCTGGTTGTCACAAATCATGGGGTCCCCGAACCCGCCGATCATCACTTTGTTCCCGCCGTCCAAAAGGATCTCGTGAGTCACAACTTCTTTACCTTTCAGGTACCGCCAGACCCTCACCTGGAGGAAGACACACAGACAGATGGACACTTATTATGAGTCCCTCCACTAGACTCTTAAATATTCAGACACCTCAGGGGATAGTTAATTCCTTACCCATCAGCTGGAGCAGGCTACAGTTTCTCAAACCTCATTGGGAGTTACGTCTCATTAGCTACATTGTAAGAGGCAACTGTCCTCATTTTCCAGCCAGTTTCTCTTTCCTCATGCTGAATCCCCCCCCCCCGTTAAAATGAACATGTCTTTCAACATGATTTTTATGTCAACAGCAACGCACACGGTGTCAAAGAATAACAAACAACCAGCAACCAAAAGCAAAGCCAATCAGACAACTGAGAAAACATTGTGAAATCCAAAAGAAATGAAAATGGCCGTATCAGCTCATCCCCAGTTAACGTCCACTTCTGGGGCCCTACACCGTGGGCCTCCACCTTCAGAAATAAGTCAGGCTCTAGAGACATGGCCTTTTTGGTGGTGGCACGAGATCATTTTGGTTCCCCCCCCCCAGCTTCTTCGTTGATCTGTTGACTTCTGCAGCTGTGCTTGCTTTCCTCAGTCTAAAGATACTCCACTGATATTTCCTATGCAAATTTTACGACAAAACATGATTGGTTTAACTGTTATGTTATATGGCTAGGTTTATGGATGTCTCTCGGCTGCTGTGCTTTCAGTGTTTATTGCTGTCGTAACACAAATGCTGGAAGCCACCTGGGGAGTATTTATGGTAAAAGTTACGGGGCATAAATATTTTAAGTAAACAAACGCACGTGGCCACTAAGCCCAGTACTGACAACAGCAGGATCAGAGCGGGTCCCCCAGCCTTAATACCTCTCAAGGTGTGACTGTTCTGCTAACAGGAAAAGAAGAGTGTGTTATGTAGTGGTCAGAGTGTTATACTCTACAGCCATGGAGACCTGGATTCGAGTCCCCTGCTCTGCCATGAAGGTGAGTGGGTGACTTTGCCCTGGCCAGTCTCTCTCTCTCTCTGTGCCTACTTTAACTTGCAGGATCGTTGTGACGATAAAAGGGAAGAGAGGCAAACTATATACCAGGGGTACTGAGGTGCAGGTATCATCGAGGGTGCGGGACGTCCCTAGTGGACGACAGGGTTGGGGGGACATATATTGCTGCTGTTGTTCAACTATAACATCTTTAGAACACCATCTTGGTTTTATGATTTGGAGTGGTTATCGGAGCACCGAAAAAGTATTTTTACAAATTTTATTTAACTGTATTATTGTATTTTATACTGTTTTTATTGTTATAATCCGGCATTTTGCCCTTGTTAGCCGCCCTGAGCCTTCGGGGAGGGCAGGATACAAATCCAAAGAATGAATGAATGAATGAATGAATGAATGAATGAACTCATTTGTTACAAGGGCCGGATCTGACATAAATGAGACCTTGTTGGGCCGGGCCATGTGTGTCATAAAATATCATGCCAGGTAGCGGAGATATAAACTTTATAAAGGACACAAACACAAAGATTTATTTTTACTTAAAATAAAAACATGCTTAAGACATTAGCTCTGTAAGCTGCAAACCTACTTTTGATTTATTGACATTCGCCATCAGAAATCTCACGCTCAGAGTTCTGAGTCTAGGACCCAGGTTAAAGCATGAAATGGCTGAGCTATGATGCAACAGCAGCAGAACTGGAAGCAGGAGATGGCCAGTTCCACTGTGGGCCTGATGGAAGCCCTCTGGGGGCCTGATATGGCCCCTGGGCCACATGTCTGACACCCCAGCTATATACATTGCCATAAGCTCCATGGAGGAATAGCTGGATAACAACAGGAGACATTCTGAATAAGAACATAAGCCAATGTTGGATCAGGCCAATGGCCCATCTAGTCCAACACTCTGTCACACAGTGGCCAAAAATACCAGGTGCCATCAGGCGGTCCATCAGTGGGGCCAGGACACTAGAAGCCCTCCCACTATTGCCTCCCCCCCAAGCACCAAGAATACAGTGCATCCCTTGCCCCAGCCTGAGAATTCCTATCTATACCTTGTGGCTAATAGCCACTTGATGGACCTTCTCCTCCATATGTTTATCTACTTCCCTCTTGAAGCCACCCATGCTTGTAGCCGCCGCCACCTCCTGTTCTCTATCTGTGTAAGAGTACACAGACACAAAATCAAGGACAAGGCTGAAATCCAAGCTGAAAAAACTTACGGCAGTCCTGGCCAGAAACGGAAACGGGTGCCCTCCCCACAATAAAGATGAAAGCTGTGACACGCAGGCCTTGACAACAGGAGCAGAGGACAGACCAGCTGCTGGGAGGGGGAGGGGGAGACTGAGAGGGAGGGGACCCTGAGACAGAAATTCCACAAGCACCTCCACCAGTGTTCCCTCTAAGCTGAGTTAGTGTGAGCTAGCTCACAGGTTTTTTTAGCCTCCGGCTCACACATTTTTGTCTCGGCCCAGGAAGGATGGCTCCAGAGCAAACTAATCGATGCAGTAGCCAAACCACCTGCTCACAACTTTAATGCCAGTCACTCACAAAGTAGAATTTTTATTCACAGGACTCCATAGCTTAGAGGAAGCATTGACCCCACCACCACCACCCTCAGCGGGATGAAAAGAGTGAGAGTCCAGTAGGACCTTGAACGACTAACGAAATTTGCGGCAGGGTCCACCCATCTTGATTTACCTCCGCATCACACAATATTACCAAAATACAAACATACGCAGTTAAAACATAGTTGAGATTCACAGATCAGGTTAGCTTTTCATCAAGTCCATCCGGTTAAGACTCCTTATATCCAGCCCCGTAGCTAGAGATTTTTTGGGGAGGGGGCCTTGGGGTCAAAGCCCAATGCAGGTGGCATGTCGGGGCACTTTGGGGGCAGGCCAGGAAGGAGGGGGCCCAGAAGAAAGACTAGGGGGCCAGGCCCCGTGGGTCCCACGTTAGCTACGGGCCAGCTTATATCCATCCTGTGTTGCAGGAGGCGTTCTGTCAAGGGTCCCCAACGAGCCGCCCACGGGCACCGTCGCACCTGCTGACACCCACCAAGTGCTTTTAGAAAGTGGGCAGGGCCAGGTGGGGTCCCCCCCCCAAGACTTCTGATTGGTCACTGAAGATTTGACTGGCATTATATTTTTTTAAATGCTGCTTGGGCAGCAGCTGCCCCCACAGCACAAGGATCTTCACTGTGTGACTGAAGGTAAGTTGCGGAAGCCATTTTGCGGCTGGCTCAGCCTCCTGGGGCAGCCATCTCTGGCTGTGCCCACCACAATGTGACAGAATTCCAACGGTGCTGGGGTTGCCAAGTCCCCTTGCCATCGCAGCGGGGGGGGGGATTTGGAGGGCATTCCAGAGGTGGTCGTTGCGTCGGTGACATCCAGTGTTCCCTCTAAGCTGAGTTAGTGTGAACTAGCTCACAGTTTTTTAGCCTCCGGCGCACACATTTTTGTCTTAGCTTAGGAAGGAGGGCTCCAGAGCAAACTGACGTATGCAGCAGCCAAATCGCTCGCTCACAGCTTTAATGCCAGTAGCTCAGAAAGCAGCATTTTTGCTCACAAGAATCCACAGCTTAGAGGGAGCATTGGACATCATAGGCAACATTCCAGGTTTGGGGCAAAAGCTCTATGGGGTTTTTGACTTCAAACCACAGAGTTTGCCCCGAAACCTGAGCATTGCCACGCGACATCCCCGGCACACGGATGTCTCCTGAAAGTGACATCATCACATCGGGGCACCACACAACGATGTCACTGTTTGGGGGCGGGGTTCCTCCGCCAGCCAGCTGGCCGTTGGCAGGTCGAAGCCCCCAAAAGCAGGGGAGCTTCCCTGGGACCTGGGGGCAGCAATCCTAAACCGTGCCCGCAGGCTCAAAAAAGCCGAGGACCCCTGTGTTATACCATAACTGTACGCCCTGGCCAGCAACAAGCACTTTTGGCCAGGCCCTCCCTCTTCCCTGTGCTTGAAATCGGTTTGCTTATGAATAGGTTTGGGGAGCAGACATACAGCTCCCAGGAAAATGCCATTAGAAGGGTGCGGGTGGGCACCTAGCGGGTATTTGAAAGATGGGATCTGTAGCCAGGACCACGACAGCTCCAGCAACAGTACAACGCAAAACAAACCTCATGATGCTCCTGGAAGGAGGACAAAGACGACGTTGAAAGATTCTGCCAAGGATCGCAAGTTTGAGATTCACTTGGCTGTGAAGAACAGCATGCGATTAACGTAGGGAACACACTATCACAAGATGCAACGAGGCCTGTTAAATTAGACTGCTTTCATAATGAATTAGACACATTCATAGGGGGTTTACCCCTACCTCGACCGCGACGACCTGGCTACAGTGATCCATGCGACGGTCACCTCAAGATTAGACTACTGTAACGCTCTCTACATGGGGCTGCCTTTATCGCAAATTCGGAAGCTGCAGTTCGTGCAGAATGCTGCGGCCAGGCTTCTGATGGGTCTCCCTAGATGGGAGCACATCCGACCTGTGCTGAAAGCGCTGCACTGGCTGCCTATAGCTTTCCGAGTTTGCTTCAAAGTGCTGGTACTTACCTTTAAAGCCCTATATGGCCAGGTTCCAACATACCTGAGGGACGGCCTTTCCCCATTGATACCCCAGAGAGCACTACAGTCGGGGGCTCAACATCGACTGGTGATTCCAGGCCCCAGGGAGGCCAGGCTTGTGGCAACCAGGGCCAGGGCCTTTTCAGTGCCGACTCCTACCTGGTGGAACACGCTCCCAGAGGAGATCAGGGCCCTGCGGGACCTTTCACAGTTACGCAGGGCATGCAAGACGGAGCTCTTCCGCCAGGCTTTTAATTAGGAGCCGCCGCCGCCGCTGCCGCCACCACCAACTACCTAATGGGAACATGGGGCATTGGGATGGCCCATTATAAGATCGATGGCCCACTATAAGATCAAGTTACAGTATTCTGATGGAGCAGTACTGCCGATTCGGGCTTGAGTAACATCTCCTGATCACCATCTTGACTTGACTGATTTGACTTAATGATTAATATTAACACC